TAATTAAAACTAGAACATAAGCTGGATTTCATGCAGTTGCAAAATTTACATATCCATATTTATATAAAGTACGAATATCGGTCTAATTGGATCTTTCTATACTTAGTATAGAAAGTCCCTGATTGGATTTATTCATCCGTCATTGCTACAAATTAAAGTAGTTCAATGAAAATTACGGAAACAAAATTACATCATGCTTCACTTGATGTTTTTATTCGTGACAACCGTTTGAGTAAAGCCAACTGTAATGAAGTTTTACAGTTTTTTTTCTTACTCGAAGATGCCCGCGAAATCGCGGTACAATAGGGCAAGTGTTGAAACAAAGAGTTTTTTAAATCTCGCGGGCAGTACGTCGATTGAGCATGCCCGAAAGCGTATAAGACTCGGACATGTCGGATCGATAACGATCTCCGAATATGGATATTTTCTCAAAAATTGGCGTTTACTGTGGAAAAAAAGATTGTTTCAAATACAAATTTAGGAAGTACAAAACACTACATTTATGCGTCATATATCACAAATATTTTCGATTTTGTATGGTTTCAGAGGAGTTGCGGGTCAATGAAATCGGTCTTTACCTTTAGTAGTATAGATGTTATGATGTTACACCACTGTCCAAGGTTAGGTCGAGGGATGAAGTTGCATGGGTGCTCACAAACATGTTTAACCACGCAGCATTATGTAAATGTATGTGAATGCCCCATCTCAGGAGCCTGTAGTTTAATGGTTGTTGTTGGATCATGTTTGTCATATTTATTTTTCGTGAATTATTTTGTTATAAATTAGGCAGTTAGTGATATTTTTTTCCCAAACGTCACAGTTTGAATTGTCTCACATTTTTCATGTCAAATAGATATAAGAAGATGTGGTATGAGTGCCAATGAGACAACTCTCCATCCAAGTTACAATTTCTAAAAGTAAACAATTATAGGTCAAAGTAACAGTGGCGTAGCAAAGCAATTTTTAAGTGTACGCCCGAAACTCACAAGGGGTCTGAAGGCCCCCGGCGACCCCAGGGCAGATGACCTCCGGGTAGGGAACGATACCTCGAAAGCTCACGCGTTGTCGTGAAAAAGATACCATTTCTGTCATTCAAAATTCATCAATAGAAACCATACTTGGTCGGTTGAGAACAACACTTTAAATACTACATAAAGATGATTTTAGCTTCCCAGTTGTGATATGATATTTCAGAACTTGCAATTCCCATCATGATTTCATTTTTGAATGAGGTTGCTTCTACAAGGAAGCTATTTAATAAGCGTGGTGAAGTCATATCCAGAAATCAACGCCACTTTGCTTATTTGAATATTATACTAAAGAAATCGGATACGGGTCACGGAAATTATATTGAAATGATAGGGAATTTTAAAAAAAAATGTCTGTTTTAACTTTAATTTAAGTAATAGACAGGTTTCCGGGACAGAAAATAAACATACACAACGATATACACCATTTAAACGAAACATAATGACTGTCGTTGCAAAAATCAAGATTCCTGAGCTATTTTAAAAATCAAAGCGAGAGGCTTTTAACATTGCAGTATAAAATACATTCTAAAATGGCTGAAACGTCAAATTTGTCCATCCAATTTACAATTTCTAAAAGTAAACCATTATAGGTCAAAGTAACAGTGGCGTAGCAAAGAAATTTTTAAGTGTACGCCCGAAACTCACAAGGGGTCTGAAGGCCCCCGGCGACCCCAGGGCAGATTACCTCCGGATAGGGAACGATACCCCCGAAAGCTCACGCGTTGTCGTGAAAAAGATACCATTTCTGTCATTCAAAATTCATCAATAGAAACCATACTTTATCGGTTGAGAACAAAACTTTAAATACTACATAAAGATGATTTTAGCTTCCCAGTTGTGATATGATATTTCAGAACTTGCAATTCCAATCATGATTTCATTTTTGAATGAGGTTGCTTCTTACAAGGAAGCTATTTAATAAACGTGGTGAAGTCATATCTAGAAATCAACGCCACTTTGCTTATTTGAATATTATACTAAAGAAATCGGATACGGGTCACGGAAATTATATTGAAATGATAGGGAATTTTGAAAAAAAAATGTCTGTTTTAACTTTGATTTAAGTGATAGACAGGTTTCCGGGACAGAAAATAAATATACACAACAATATACACCATTTAAACGAAACATAATGACTGTCGTTGCAAAAATCAAGGTTCCTGAGCTATTTTAGAAATCAAAGCGAGAGGCTTTTAACATTGCAGTATAAAATACAGGCTAAAATGGCTGAAACGTCAAATTTGCAAACTTCGTGTTAAAAATTGGCTAACAAGGTCATTACAAGAACAGGTTGCCGGAATGAAACTTGAAACTTGAATGTCCAAAGAATAAGCAAGTCCAAACCTTGTATGTGTAGTCGTTGAACTATAGGTTTCCACGTAAAGTTAAAATGCCCCTATTTCAAGAAGAATAAAATCACGAAAACACGAAAAATTCACTAAATTCGCGTTCATTGTTTTGATTTTGACCGCCTGACAACTTTACGGAAATATCAGAGTGATTATAAACAAGGACTCTGTGACGGGCAACTTATAATATCCGTGTTTTAAAGATTGTATTGATATCAAGCCAGTCCAGTTCAAACTATTATCACGTGGTACAATTCTCATTTACATATAATGAATATTAATTAGCAAAAGTACTACTAATTTTTGGCTATGGTTGAAATCATCCCTTCGAAAATGTTAAGATCACTTTCACGAGGTAATTGACTGTTTTGCAGAAGGACATGTTCCATTGTTGTAACCACAATTCCCTCCTCTGTTTTACTGCCGAGTTAGACCCATATCACATCTTTTTTTTCTCATCTTTTAACTAAAACGCAGAAACTTTTTAGGGGAGTCAATTTGATTTTTTCGGTCTCACTAATTAGCGACAAGAATATTTTAGCGACAAGAAGCGACAAGAAGCGTCAAGAAGCGACAAGAAGAATAAATTTAGCGACAAGAAGCGACAAGAAGACTATTTAGCGACAAGAAAACTTAAAAAAAATATTAATATAATAAATATATTAAAAAAATATGCATTGACATTTTTATTTTAATATACGGGCAGTAATAAAGTGATTTTCATTTTTTTTCTATTATATTGATAGATATAGAAATTTCCATGTCATATTATGATATTAATGTTTACATGTACTTGTGTTTTAGAACAATTATATATTTATTTTATAATTTTTTTAACACTCTCTTTGTATAAAATATAATAAACTGACTGCATGCAAAATGCATTATTCGTGAATCAATGTCCAGAAAAGAAAATGTTATTAAAACGTGAATATTTTGTTTTGTGTATTGACTCATTAAACGATATGTATCATGTGAATGCACAGTTTAAAGTTGATTGAAGATTTAAGGTAATTAAAGA